GAACGAAGGGGAAAAAGGGTTTAAAAGACTGACTGTTTTGTCTAGAGGCCTCTTATCAAATAGGATGCACACACTTTCACGAAAGAATTACTCCACCACCAGATACGGTGCAGTTATCCTGCTCTCAGGCCGCTGTCAGTGTGCATGCCCTGACCATGAAGCAAACAGGAGAGAACTTGAGATGACACACCCTTAGATGAAGGAAGGATGTCACAGCCATGCAGCACAGGAGATTACCACACAAGAGATGAAGCCCTGTTTGTGTTTGCACACCCATGCCCTCCCTCATTCTTTAAAAGGAGAAATATAAGATCGCTACTCAGACGACTTTTGGCATCCATCACCAGTTTCCTGATACACATCACCTCCTCAGCTTCTATTTTCACAAACATCCACAAAAGGTCAAATGACGTAGAAGTCAGGCATTATACTCCCTTCAGAGAGCAGGACTGATGTCCAGAAAGGTGTGGAGTCATAAAAGCAGCTAATGTCGAAGCACAGTCTTGAATGCTGACCTCAATTTTTCTGCCACTAGAACATCCTTTTTACTAATGTCTTGCCCAAAACAAAATAGAAACAGTTACTTTTCACCCCCTACTGTTGTCTTTTGTATCAATCTTAATGCAAGGATTGCTCAGAACGAGAAGTGGAAAACAGCACATTTTGGTTTTCATGTGAACAGAAAGAAAAGAGCAACTTCCCTATAAGAGAGCCTAAAGAAGGCCCAAACTGAGTATCTCAGAAATGAGTATCTCACCTCTTAGCACTGTTGGAAACCTTGGTTTGTAGGCTACTGCACTTTTGGCCTGAAATTTAATTTTAGATGATATTTATCCTAAATAGCTGATGTGTTTTAATGGTCTGGTTTGACATTCTAATATTTCTGCACTAGAAAGACCAGCTTTGCACTGTCTGTGGAGTCTGTACCAAGGGTCACTAGATGCCGTATCCGAAATGTTTGTATACCTGGCAGTCAACCCTTAGGGCATGGAGGAACACCCCTTAGGAAGCCCTACATGCCCACGAATAAGACAGGGTTCTGATTAGCTGACTTTCAAACCCACCTTTAACAGAGAGCTTAAATATCTAAGTTAGCAGCTGAGGAATGAAGGCAGAACACACAGCACGTGGAGCTATTCCGTCTGCTTACCGCTGCAGGAAGACATCGTAGTAGTCTCTCTTCATGCACTTTGCTGTGATCTGCTTGTACTCCTTCAGCACACGCCGGATGGCATCACTCAGCGCTCCGTACAAACAACGCTCCCCATCAAATGTGTTTGCCTCACATTTTGCTCCTGCAAAATGGCAACAGATACACGTCAGCAGGCAGCTGCATCTTTCACGTGTCACTGAATGATCACTAAACAAGTGTGACACCTGGCTGCTGACGTTTCACCGTGATCTCTTATGCTACTGTGCTTTATTATGAAAATTCAACTCCCCCTACACCTGCATCACCTAATGCTGTTCTTCCACCACTTCATTCCTTTCTGAAGACATCATGACTCATTTATACTGATTTTGGTAATAAGTGTCTCAGCACGATTCCAGCAGCGTTCAGAAAATAATCTCACTGCAGAAAGCATGACCACCTACTGGACTTTAACAGCTCCTTCAGAAGGCATTTCTGCCTTGTACAAGACACCTCTTTAGAACAGGCTGTGCTAGAAATTTGAAGGACACTTGCATTTTCCTATTTCAGAAACACATGTGGGGTATATTAAGGTGCACGGAATGCAGCAAAAGGTACACTGAATGCACCAAGTGTTAAGGAACTTGGGTGCTGAGAACCTAAGGGGCAAGCACTTTCCATGACAGTTTGCCTTACTTTTAGCAAAATGCCTTTGCATTTCACCTTTGAGTCCTGCCTGAAGCAAGGCTAACAGAAGACTGCAAGAAAGTTTTATATGGGTTCCTCAAATGAAGTACAATTCTTACACCAACATACTCCCAAAAGAAATGCACACTTCCAGAACATTAATTGTGAATTCTGAAAGTCATGTTGTCCCTTAAGTTAGCATGGAAAGCTTCCCTGAAGTAAATTCAAGCAGCAGGTGGTCTGCAGAAGGGGTCAGGATGATCTGCAGTGACCAGAGAGTCCCAAAGGCAGCCAGAGATCATTGATCAGATAGTTCATTAAAAAAGAAGCTTCCACAAGCTACATTTAGAACAATATTGTCTCCACAGACAAGTAAGAAGAAATATAACTGGGACACTTTTGCTCACCATTGGCTAGAAGATAGCGTACAAGGTCCTCATGTCCACAGAGGCAAGCATAATACCTGACAATAACAAGAGAGAGAAAATTGAAGATATAATAGGATGCAAAATTCAGTGTTTGGGCACAGCACGCGAAATTTAGCACTGAGCTTCCTGTGATACTTTTGGAAGATGGCTGCTCACAGGAGCGAGGAACTGCTCCCAAATAACATGTAAGCCTGACCCCAGCAATTGAGTAAGTAGGATCTGTTCCCAGAACTTATAGGCACTCCTGTCTTGCAAGGAAATCTCAAGGTCCCAGTCTGAGTTCCGCATCTTCTGTTGCACCACTGGCTGCCAAATCTGCCTCCTCATTTTAACAGAGTTCATTTCATGGGCACTCTGCAATCCTACTGAACTCTCAGGAACACTCCTTTGGATGTCAGTCTGATTGCTGCATAATGTGACAATGAGGAAATAGCATTCATATCACACATAAACACACCCCTCAAAGTCTTCTTACAATATTTTGTTACTTCCTTCACAATCTGAGGCTTTCCTAATTCACTATCACAAAGAGCCCAAACTGTCCTACAAATTAGGAGAATCCTGTCACCTGCACTGTAGCCAGCAAATATGGTTTCATTTTGGGAAGTTACTCCATATTCTAAATACGTTGCAGATGTCTAATGCTGCTTTGGAATTAGGATGCAGGAACTTACAAAGTTCACGTGATTCTCCTCAGCATCAGCACAGATTCCTCACCACCTATGGCAAATTCACAGCCTTGCCAGACAGCAAACCCACCATCACTTCGCATTTCATCAGGTCATACCTTCATCTGACAAGGCATGCTAGAATGCCATTGACCTTAATGGAAAAAAAAAAAGGCCTACCCAGGACAAAAACAAACTGCTCCATCCAAGTTATTTGGTCACAAAATTAACTGTGCTTCTCAGCACTATGCCAGCACGTGTCCCTTAGTGAGACAAAGGCACATTTATCACAGCACCCACAGAGGAGAGCAGCAGAAATATGCAGCCAAATCACCTACAAAGCAGAACCCAACTCATTTTGTAACAGAGCTCCCAGCTGTGATGCAGAGAGAATGAAAGAGCCGTGACAGCCCTGCCCTCCCTCCCACCCAGCCAGCACTCTAGGGTGCAGAACTCACAGAGGTGTACTGTCCCACTTATCACGGACATTGATTTCCACATCTCGCTGCTCAAGAAGGTATCTGGAAGAGAAACAGGAGCAAAGTCATATCTTCATGCAGTTGCTCACTCAGACATGTTCTCCTCTTTAAAAACACCCAAGTTTGAGTTTGTACAGTGACTTCCAAAGGCACAACAGGATCTTGCATTCAACCTGGGGAGACATCAGCTGTGGCTGAAGGGGCATCAGGCAAATCAAGGAACTGCAGCACAGGTTGGTGGCTCCTTTGGTCTTCATTTGTGTAAGGGAAGAAAGGAATCAAATCCACTCCTGCTGACCCATAACAGGGCCAGAGCCATAAGAAAAGTAGGAGCACTTCAGCAGTACCTTCATATCCTCCTAAAATGCTCACAGCCTGGATACTCACGATACGTGGCCAAACTTAACAGGGCAAGGCTGGACTCCTTACCCTGTCTGCGGCTTTTCTTTCCATGACACCAGTGTCACTCCAGACTGCCCTTAATTCCTGTCGCTCCCTTATCCTGCTCACTTATCAAGCACTGCCAACTCTTCCCCTTTGGCATCTCTAGAAGCCAACCTTCTCCTTATGCACAGGTCTTCCTCCCAAGCAGCCTGGCTCTTATTACAGCCCATCCCCACCTACAGTGACAGCCGTCCCTCTGAGCCACATGGAGGCTCTCAAACATTCTCCTCACCCACATCAGTTCCTCCTTTCCCTTCCTCCATCCTTCCTTCCTTCCTCAGCCTCACCTGACTGCCCACTCAGTTCCGTCCATCTCAGCCCACTCTGACTCCATGTGGAGCTTGTCCCCTTTGCTTTCAGTGTTCTCAGACTGATAGTTTCTCCCTATCACGTCACTGCTCGCTACCTGAATTCTCTGCAAGGTCACCCGCAGGGCCCCTCATCCTACAGCTAAGCCGCACCGTACCACTGCAACGAATTAAGCCGCTGTAAGCGTACAACTGGTACAAACGGCCACCAGGCCTCACCCACCAGCAGGAAAGGCGCAAGCTCTGCCAGCCGTCCCACACCGTCGCCCACAGAGGCAGCAGGCTCGCGGTGCCCGCCCTGCCGCCGAGGAAGGAAGGCCGGGGATCGCGCAGGGCGAGGCCGCGAAGCGCCCACACCCCCACAGCCCGAGCCCCGCTCACCGCACGCGGCTCACGTCCCCCTTCTTGCAGCTGGTGAACAGATCGTTGGTGTCCATGGCCGGGGCAGGCCGCGGGGCGGCGACGCCGCATTGACTCTGAGGGCGGAGGGCAGACGGCCGGGCCGGGGCGCGGGGCCGGAGGGGCCGCGGCAGCGACGGGACGGAAGCGGTTGCGGATGTAAACACGGAGCGGGCGGGGCGGCAGGAGAGGCTCCGCCGCCGCGAGAGGAAGTGAGTCGAAGCGCAGCGCCCCCCGCGGCTCGGAGGATCAACCGCCGACCTGCAGCTGCAGGTCCGAAGAGGAACGCGGGGACTGCGCGTGCAACGGGAGCGAGAGCAGGGGCTGCGCTCGGGTCAGAACGGGCAGGGGACGGGGGACGGGCCGGCTGTGCTGCTGGCAGAGTCGAGGGACCTCGCTCCAAGAGACGAAGTTTAGGGAAGACGAACAAGACAGAGAAGCAGAGGCCACTCGGGTCAGTGGTCAGACACCACAGAGGTGCGTTTTATTGCAAAGAAACCAAAACCACGGCCTCGGCGCTTGCAGGGCCAGACACGAGTGTTTGTATTGCCCAAGGAGTCGCCAGGGCTGGCGGCCAGCCGGGGGTCCAGCAGGAAGGAGGGCTGCGAGAAGGTGGCCGGGCTGAGCTCACAGAAAGCCTGCCAGCAGGGCAAAGCGCTGAGCTGCTCCTCGGCCCCTGCAGAGAACTGGCAACAGAGGAGCCGCAGAACGCACCAGCCATGGTGGGATGCTGCTGCGCTGCTTCAAGGTCATGGAGCCATCATCCATGCATTGCTGTTGCCTCTATTTCACACTGCACACTGCCAGGTGACAGGTAGAATGCTGGCAGCCTGCATTACAGATAGCACAGCTCAGCAATTAGCAGGCAGCTCTCTCTCCCCCTGCCACACCACGAGGCAGGCTGCAGGAGTCAAAGACTCAGCACATGTGTTTCTATGCCCGTTTACAGACCCCATTCAGGACATCTCAGCAAGATCTGGAAGCAATCAAAACTGGGCCATCCCTGCCCCACCTGGCTATTGTCCCACAGAGGTGGAGTCGTTCTGCCCATGTCCACACATCCAGCCGACACCAGCACTGCAGCTCTGGGGCACAGAGTCACTCATGCCAGCACCCACTGAGTTCTGACAAACCACATTTGTTTCCAGGCAGAGCCTCCAACTTCTGGCCGTAGTCCTGGAGGAGAGGGGGGGCAGAAGGAGCCATGAGGCTGGGATTGCTGTCCAGGGCCCCTACTGGTGACACAGGAGAACGTCCCATCTCATCGCTTTGCAGACAACGACATCCTTGCACAAATCATCCCATCCGTGCTCAGTGTCATGGCAGCCCCTGTGAGTAAAGCAGGTGACTGTTCTAGGCAAGTCGCAGGAAACAAATATCCGCAGATAAAGAGAAGGGAAGAAAGTCCTTTTTTAATTTTTTGTTTCCGACTCTTCAGCAGCCACCAGGTGTCAGTGCGATCAAACGTTTGGCAGATGGGACCACAGCAAAGTCCTGGGAGGTGGAAAACACTTTTCCTGGAATTACTCTGTCTTCTGTCTGCTCTGGAGCCTGGTGCACCCCTCTGAGAAGACCGGCTTTGACAGTCTTTGTTAAAAACAAGTTTAACTACATTAAATTGATAGAAAAGTTTCCCATAACAACTGATAAACTTTCTCTTCCTTTTTAAGTCCTCCCTGTAGAGACCTGGACCCAAGCTCTGAACAACAAAGTGAAACGGGCTACAGGTAGCCTTTCTACAGCACTTCCCAGCCTGCATGTGCCAGGAAGTGACCCATCTGCAGGGCTTGCAGGAGAGGACAACAGTGCAATTGACTTAACAAATCGGCCTAGTGCAAAAAATGATACAGAGGAAAAAAAAAAAACAAGTGGAAAAGGAATAAAAAGATCACCAGACTACAATGAAATGCTATTAGCCAGTAGATTTCCGGAGATAAACTGAGATCATATAGCCAAGTGCACCCTGCCAGGGACATCAGAATATTGTTCTGGCATTTGTGATAGCCACCCTCAGGCATTCTAAAGAAACCCTGGAGCACTCCAGATTCAGAGGAATCCACTACAGGCTCTAAAATACAGTCAGGCTGTAAAAACCCAGGGCAGCAAACCAGGAGGATTTGCTAGGTTATTAATAAGCCTCAGTATCCTCCTTGCTTTCTTTAGAATTTGAAGACTTAGACCAGATCAGAAGGTGCTGAGTCCAGCAAGAAGCTCACTTTATCAGCACCTGGTTGTTTTTCTCAATGGCGCGGTGAGAAAAGGAGGCAGCAAAGCAGCTCCTAGCAATGAAGTGCACCAACAAAGTCTTTTGTGTGTGAACTAATCCACATCTGACTGGTGGCTGTACCTTCCTGACAGCCACTGGGTTAAAAAAACAAACAAACAAAAAAAACATATTTAGTGAAGATTACTGGATTTAGAAACATTTATACAGTGAAACTCCCTAAAGGCCACAGCCATGCCAGGCCCTGTTATACTAAGTGCTATACAAACTCAAACTTAAACTCCATGCTTTAAATTTACTCACCATATTATATGAACAACTCGCATTTAATCCCGTGAAGCCCAAAATGCCATCAACACAGCCAATGAACTTGTGCAGTTTCACTGCACGAACCCACCAAATTCAGCAGGAGTCATCAGTGAGGGATGGTCAGCAAAGGGCCACACGTGGCCATCCATGTGCACTCACTGCTCCCCCACACCAGCCAGCCATTATCAACTGCTAGGGCAGGAGAGGGAACTCCTCTGGGTATCTCTGCAGCTCTGCCAACAAGATACAAAAGGAGCTGGTGGTCACCATCTCTTACACAACATAAGGGAAAAGTACAGAGGCGGAATAAACACTGAAAATTGGAATCTGGATAGGAAACCAAAGGCCGTGACTTTTCTTGAATGGTCCTACATCAAGGTGATCTGTGATTCAGTTTGTATGCAAAGCGCTATGCAAAATGAAACAGACTCTTTTGTACCTTGACTTTAGGGACTTACATCAGGGATGGATATGCTAAAAATACCTATACATACAGAGATAGATTTACAGACTGCATATCTGGAATCTTTCTGTAAAAGGCCTCCTTAAAGACCAAACGTGAGCTGCAAGGAAGCAGATCACCATAATGGACAGGAATAGCTTTGCCACTGACCTAAGCAAGTCCCTCAATCCCTGCTAATAGAAGAAACAAATGTTCTGGGATTCCAGGCTTGAAAGTAGTTCCAAGTCTTGATTTAGACAGTGCTCAAAGAACAATTATGCACATTCACGTGCCTTTTATCACACATCTTCAGGGAGCTGGGGCCTCAAAATTGCCTGAGGCATGCCTGAAAAACATTCACTGGGGAGCTCTTAGATCTGCTTCTCATCTAAACAGGCTTTTACACTTGTTTGAATGAAGCAATTTTGAAGAGTTACCCTGATTTACACCAATATGACATTAAACACTTCACACTTCAAGGCAGGATCCTGGAAAGGAAACAAAAGGGCCAGAAATTTATCAGTTTGAGTTTTCACTTTTCTCTCTGTTAAAAACCTCCCATAGCCCTTATGCTTACCTCGAAAAGATTAACTGAAACCAATTATCCTGGAAAATGGAATGGGAGTAGAAAAGTGCTGCCAATCTAAGACTGAGATGAGGGATACTTTGCTGCTAATTTCATTGCTGTTAGGTGAAAGAGGCAGGTAAAGGTCCTTTTTGAGCAACTCTCCAAACTAGCAAACTTCCAGCTGAGATGATGCACTATGGCACCAAATTCTCTGCAATCAGCCAAACAAGGGTAAAGTGCTCAGACTTTGCAAGCTCAGCTTGGAGCTGTGGAAGTGAAAAAGGAGTGTGGGCTGTTTAAGGGTGTGAGGTTGAAGAGGAAAAATAAAAGAGATGACACTGAGATGTTCTTCCCAGACATAAACATCTGAATCCTAGACTGCTACAAAAATCTCTTTTCATGGAGTGGAATGCAAACTCAGCCCAAGATATCAACAGAGTTGTGACTCCCTCCATCCAGAACAGCCTATACAGCACCTACAGGGATTGAATGCAACCTAGAGATAAAAATCCAGGTGTATCAAGGTCAGGATCTGGCTGACATAATTTCAGCTGGACTCTCAAAGTGTATTAATTCCCCAAAGCTGAATTCTCAGTGCTAGACCTAGCCTCAACTCCTTTTTTTCAAGCCCGGTCACTCTCAGCCACTACCAGAGAGCTACAGTAAGTGCATTTAAAGGTGATGAAAGCATTGGTGCTACTGATAGGAACACACACACAGAGACCTACCCACCCACCCATCCCCGCTTCCCTCTGTTCAGTGATCCTCCTGGCTCCAAACAGATTCAGGCTCAGGACTTCCATCGGGAAAACTCGCCCAAAAAATTCGACCCATCCCGAGCCTTTCAGTTGTTCCTGATAAGCCACTTGATCCCATGGTCCATCAGTCAAGATAGGAGACAATTATATTTCAGGGGGCTGTTCCCTCTCTTCTTTTTCTAAAGATGTGTGTCTTCCTCAAACACATCCACATCCTCGCTTGCCTGCTTATTGATCAGGACATCCCAGCTGTCGGGGCCATTGATGGTGTTTCCACCATTCACGCTTGGCTTCTTCTCCTGCATTTCTGACTGGCTGTCACTTGCCACATCCAAGGTGGGGTTGTCATGGCAGCCGTTCTCAACAAAGCGCAGCTCTTCACCATGTGACTGCAAAGGAAGGAGAGGAGCACAGAGACAAGTGAAGATAGGTCTTAGTGCTGCTGAGCACTAAATTTATTCCTGGCCCAAACCCTGCAGCAGAAAAGAACCATCCTGAGCACATCAAGAGGTGTGCAGGTTTACGTCTCTCCTATGCTTACACAGCTTCCCTGCTGCTCCAGCAGTGTATCCAGCTATGTCCACAAAGTGGACAGGGAAACCAATCTCCCTCAACTTTCCAGATCCCTTCATCCCAAGGGATTCATCCAACCACTTTTCCCACCTGTCCAGTGCTCACCATGTTCTTCATCTTTGGCAGGCGTCTCTGCCAGCAGTTGTATATGAGCCCCAAGACAATGATGATGGCACAGATGGAGCCAATGATCACCAGTACCACAAAGAGTTTCCCATAATCACTGCGTGTCTGATTGGGATGTGACTGACAGCTTGTGGTGGTTGAATAGTTCTGGATGCCAATCTGAAAGGAAGCAAGGAAAGAAGCAGCTAAATCCCCTGGCCTGCCATCAGGTAAGATCTGCTCAGTTTTCTGGGTTTAAGTGCAGGACCATCACTGCGGGCAGAGGAACTAAAAGTCAGGGTTAGGAGTCAGTATGTTCACTGCCTTGCATGACTAGAAGGCACAGAAACAAGTTCAACACCATCTTCCTTGAGAGCTGGCCAATCAGCCAAGTGTCAGTGGGCATAATCCTGCCTTGACTGCTTGCACAAGGATCACACCAATGTGCAAGCAGGCTTTCGTGGGAGAAAATATCCAAGATTTAGTTCCCTTTTAACTGTCAGCAAAGCCCAACATCGTTCCCTGTGACTTGTTGAGTTCCAGCCTGGTTATGTAACAATTCAATACTAAGTATGATGGGTGTAAGAGAATATCCTCCCTCTTCTTTCCAAGCCCAGGCTGGCCCAAGGTCAGTGCAGTGAGCAGTGTTTCATTATTGATAGAGCTGGAGAGTCAGAGGCAGGCAGTAGGGCTACTGTGTAGGATGCATGTTAACATGGGGGTATTGTTGAACACAACTCAAACCTCACACTGACACGAATCCTTCCTGGACAGTTCTAGCTGCTGATACTTCAGTCACACTATTTCTACAGGGCTGACTTTTTAGTACTTTCTCTAGTGTAAGCCAATCAATAATACACTGAGAACTTAATTTCTTTATCTAACTGCTCCAGTTTGTTAGGACAGGGAGAAGCCTGAGAGGAGACTTCCAGCAAGATGGTGGCCCAATTCTAATGCTAAAGTCAGCAGAATTACTTGAAGACTGTTTAAAAGGGGGAAAGAAAAGAAAAAAAAAAAAAAAGCAGCAGTCAGGCCTTCGGTCCCTAAGTGTCAAACTCAGATCATGGGACTATTTTGCCTTCATCTCTTCACTCTTCCAAGTTGCCCACAATTAGAGGAAAAATACATGAGGACAGGAGGCAGTTAGCATTGGAATCTGGCATCCATCACCTGTGGTTCTCTGCCTGCCTTTGTGGAGGCAGTTATCAAAAAGGAGTGAAACGCAGACCCTGGGATAGCAGAAGGAAGGTGTGTGAATGTGTCCCATCTAGTACAGGCACCTCTCTCACCTCCTTCAGCAAAGGCTGAGCAACTGGCAACAGCCATCATCAGCAGATCAAGCAGGGCTGATTCTGGGGCTCTGCAGCACTCACATCGCCACAGGCAAGAATGTGGAAGGTATGAGACGAAGTAGCCCAACCAAATGAATGTGTGAAAAGCAACTTCAAAACTAAGCCAGAAGAGCAGGCAGGGAATAAACCACAGTCACTCTCTTAATGGGAACAAACATTTGATGATCTGGCAACTACCAGAGAGGGGTAGAAGGGACTTTGCCAAGCGTCAGATTAATCTGTGTGCCTGCTGTGGGTTCAGCACTTGGTTAGACTGAGATGCCTCCCAGTTTACAAGGTACTTATTTTAATTGTATAGCCAGTCTTAAAGGATGGATGCAGGAAGACAGGCTTTTACCTCAGCTAAGCTCCTCTTAACATCCCCCAGTGCCATGAGGACATCTTTTGTAGGGATGATACCTGTAAAGAAGGAGATAGAGATCAGTGCTGCTCTTTCAGCTCAACTTAACTGAGTTAGATGTACTCATCACTGTGAAATGGCCAACAGGATGGAAGCAGAGGAACACGTTTTTGTTCATTGGTATTCTAGGTTGAGACTGAAAATTCAAGGACCATAACACCAAGGGTACTTCCAAATGTTCTTCAAAGAGGGGAAAAAATCCAGGCATGAACTGATACTAAAGGCACCAAGGTACCCATAGGCCCATTTCTACTTTCACTTGTTCAGCAGTACAAAGAGGAACCTGAGAAAAGCAATTTTCAGAGCAGAAAATACTTTGTTTCTAAAAGTTTCTAGAAGTTAGAATTCTGTTTTCTTCACATAGGCCACAATGTCAACATTAGAAGCCTCTAGCAGGAAGCAGACGCAGTATAGAAAAAGCATTCTCCTTTCAGAAGGGGATAAAGATGTTAAAATGAACCAGCACAACTTACCTCTACTGTCAGCTCTTTTTTCTTTGCAAATGCAAGAGAGGCACTGTAAGGACTGGCCAAGTACAGATGAGAGTTAAGCCATAAGTTAAAGTGATCTAAGAGCAGGCTGCCATGTCCTGCCATAGCAATGGCCTGCTCACAGAGGACAGCACAGAAGCACAGGGAAAAAGCTGACAAGTGTTCACGTAAAGGCAATTCAGGGAGGGAGGAAGGTAGGAAGTGAAGCACAGATTAAGCTTGGTGCAAACAGTGAGAAACAGGCCACTCCATTCCTTGAATCCTGTTAGCACTGGGAACAGGTGGGACTGAATCACAAAAAGAGCAAAAACTCCTTTCAACAAGGATAAGCATCTCCATTTGGGAGCACCCTAAAAACGACCCCTATCACAGGAAGGATCCTCTCAGCACTTACCCTGTTCCCCTGCCAGTGTCATTAGCAAGTGCTTGTCATTCTCGTTGGGTTTGCTCAGAGAGATCATCCAGTGGTCCTGCAGTCCATCTGTCTGTCTGGAGAAAGCATCCTCCACCAGAGCCAACAGCTGGGGACCCCTCTCCAGCCGAAATTCCTCCTGCCATGGGAAAGAGACATTGGTGAGCTGTGGTGGGAATGGCAGGTATAGCACTTCAGGGCTCACACGACTGCATGGCAAAAACCCTTGCATCAGGTACACCCAAAAGCCAGCAATGCTAAACCTGGGGCATTGCTCCCCTCAGCAGCCTCAGTGCCCAGACTGAACCATGCAGCCCTCAGGACATACCTGTCCTGCTTCCTGAGCTCCCATGGCCACCATATACCCCACTGTGTACCAAGCCCAGCACACAGGAATCCTGAAGCAACATCATCACATAAGGCAAGAAGCTGCCAGGCTTTTCCCTGCAGCCAGTGCTGGGTCAGCAGGTGCAGCTCGGCCTGACATGCTCCAGCCATCCCCTGGCAGGCTCCTTCACTGCTTTCCCACTCCTGCGTTTCTATTCTTATCTCCAGTTGCCATGTCAACCTGAAGGCCACACAGATGATTAATAAAATGGAGAGCTCTTGTTGCCATGGCAATTTGAAGCGCTCAAGGCAGGCACAGGCTTGTGCCGAAAAAGGCCTAATTGAAAAAGACACTGATGACTGAGGCCTGAATCACAAGGGCCTGCCAGTGCCTTGTCTCATCAGGTTATGGGTTTTGGCATCAGCAGTGAGCAGGGAGGCCGGAGCAGCAGTGCAAAGATGCAGCATCGTGCTGCGGAGCTGTGGCTTCTGCTGTCAGCCTGAGGTTCTGTTCTGAGGGATGTGGAGGAAAGGGGAGCAGCATAGCCCTAGAGCGGGGCAATGGAGGTGAGAAGTTTCTAATCACAGGAACAGCAGGGATTGCAGAGTGCTGAGGAATTCTCCTTGGTAGAGAAAAGGGAGCTGTGAAAGAGTCTGAAAGCGCATGAGCAGAATTAGAGGTCACCTCCTGAACGCAGCCAGGTACCACCACTGGGTCAGATCCTGCAGTCCTCAAAGACACAATTCTCAGGTATATTGAGTGGGAGACGTGCCTAAAGGGACTAAAGTGACTGCCCTGCCCAGAGCCTATTAAGCAGATGAAGAGGCTGCCAGCTTAACCAAGACATCGACCCTGCAGCAGGTAAATGCCCAGTGCTATGAAGAACATTAACATTCAAGGTGTGAGGTGTAACCTCTCTGCAAGGGGCTGGGCTCCCTCCTGTCCCTTGGCTTTTCATTGGGACTCTGGACTGAACCAGGCATTAAACAAGAAATGTTTTAAGAATCTCCATGCTAATTTAAGCTACAACACTTGCAATGCAGATTCTGCCTCACAGTCCCAGAAATCCAAACTATACAGGCTCCAGATACAGAAACCAGAAAACAAAACGGACAGGCAGAGGGTTGGTGAGCTGCCTAAACTAAGCAAAGGGTAAGAAACAAACTTTGTCAACAGTGGTGGAAAGGAGAAGAGCTTGATTCCAGTTTCAGCCATGCAAAGTGGTAATGGGAGAAAGGGAATGAAGCAATGTTCATGTTAAATATGTATGTCGACAAGTGTCCCTTTGAATAACAAGAAGAAAGCACAAATCACTCATTGGGAAATATGTTTTGAAACATTAAATCAAGTAGAAGAACAGTTCAGGCCTGCCTATCCCAGGACACTATCTTCTTTCAGCATGGCAGAACTGAGGATTCAACAGTAAAGGCATAATTTTATCAAGAGACATCAGCACATCAGCTTTTAAGATCTCACCCTTCCAGTGGTTTAAACAACACAAGACCAAAAGAAGAAAGCTACCATGTATGCAAAATTAATAAGCATTTAAACTCCACAGAGATGCTAGAAAGAGTAATTGTGGATGCAAAAGAAACAGAGCAGCAGGAATATGGTTTTCAAGGGCTGGTCTTCTGAGTTGCAATTGTGTACTGCAACAGAGATGCTTCCAACTCTCCAAAGGGCAAACTAGTCGGAAGGAAAGAGACCAGCTTTTAATCTGCCTTTAAAGCAGGCAACATTTTTAGTGTTGGTTTACACAGTGAAGTCAACAGCTTTATTGTGTGAATCATCTGCTTTCGCTGCCCCCCAAAATTTCACATAAACACTAAAAAACAAAAAAAAACCCACCTCAAATTCACCACTAGTGGAAATAGGTCAGTGGCAGAGTCGCCCTGCAGTAACAAAATCAGTCTGCTCTGCTCATGGCTGGAGCTGCGGCAAGCAGGAATGCAGACACACAAGGACAGAATATGGTTCCCTGATGAAATATTTTGGTCTCAGGCTGTCAGGCTTATAATCATTTCTAAGAATTATGAAAGGCACCTTGACCTCAAGCCTTTCACAGCTGGTTTCAAAGTGCCTGATAAAAGGCCTACCAGAAGTGAATGAGCCAGAGATCCACAAGGGGCTCTGGACTCATGAATTAACTGCAACTTTATGGGGATGGATGGACAGGCATTGGATTAGCAGAGCATGACTGGTTAACAGACACAGATAACACATAAGATAAGGGGTTGGGAAAAAGAGGCACTTAAGGAAGATTTAGCGACAGCTTCTTGATACTGAACCATTCACATGGCAAACAGGGAGTCCTTTTTCCTCTGAGTCATCAGAGAAACGTCCCCTGGAAGGAGAGGAAGTGAAAGAAAAAAAGAATAGAGGAAAGGAGGATCAGACCTCAATTCTGCCACACTGCCTGCAAGTAAGAGGTGCAATGTTAAAGGCCCTAATGTCTCCTGATAAACCAGGGGAGCATTGGCACAAACTAACAGCCAGTAGTTAGCGAAAAGCCACTCTGGAACTGCTGTAGTGTAAACTTTGAGAGAAATTCTGTCTCCACCCACTCTTTCCCCATTTGGAGAACAAGAATATTTTTTGCCTTTCTATCCACAGCCTCTACAGGGACTTTGAGAATCAATGCTTTTAAAATGTTTTGTAGTGAAAGCACACAGCAAGAGCTGTGCCTGCCTCCGTATCTCTAAGCGCTATTCCTCCCCTGCCATCAAATCTCTGTGGACATACTTACACAGTCAATGTTATCTGACATATTCAGGATGATGTAGTTTTTCCCCGCAAGGTTGCTCCAGTCTTTGCAGATCACCTGGAAAGACAAGACAAAGATAGCTGGGTTTGCATAGCAAATGCAGCTCTCCTGCTGAAAGAACAGGGTACACAAGAGGCTGTGCCATACCCAGAGAAGTGCTTCTCAAAGTAACTGAACTTTTTGCATTAGGAAGGATTCATCTTTCTGTTCGTAACGTGGGACACCAGGTGTTTTCATTTTTAGCAGAAGCACATGAGGCAAGGACAAGCTGTGCCAGCTTCCCCCAGTCCATCTTAACTTTCACCTGTACCTACTCTGGGGAGCTCAATGGAAAACTCTCTAGCCTGCAGCCTTATTCAGTATGTGATCAGCACAGCACAAAACCTAACAAAGAGCCTGTGCAGTCCTTAAACTGGTGAAATAATCCATAAACTTTGTAGGCAACATAGTCCCTCTGTGCTTCCAAAGCTCAGGGTCCCAAATACCTTGGGGGCAGAAAGAACAAAAGCTTTCCCTGGCACTTTTTTTTTTTTTGCCAGTTTGATCCTCCTACCTCTCATCTTTTTATCAGCTGTCAGTGTGCTGGAACTGCAGCTCACCTCACACCTCCTCACCTACGAGCTCCCCTAGACAAACATCCTCATAGATCTCTGTACCCTGCTCCACCTGCTCCGCATCTGTTATCTGCATTAGGCAGCAGCAAAAATAGCACTTCTTTCTCACTCCCTTTCCAGAAATCCTTGGGGCCATTTTTGTCCTGACACTTCCAATAATGAATGCTGAGGAAACAAGGAGCTCTTGCTGCTATGTGTGCCCCACAGGGTAGGTGTTTTTTAGAAGCAATATTTTGGGCAGCAATTCATAAGGGAAGATGGGAGGAAGGGCTGTGAGGGGAAGGGCTTTCTTCAAGAATCATGGACACCCTTAACAAATGCTTTGAAAACCTCTCCAAAATTTAGTTTTGGCTGAGTCGGGCAAACAGAAAAGCTACTTTCGCCAGTCAGACCCAGGGTGGTGGTAAGATTAAAGAGTTCAACACCCCATCAAATATCTCCACTGCTATCTCTAATCCACTGCCCACCTCCCAGTGCTACCTGTGCTGAATTCCAGGGCGCTTCTGTCGGCAGCATGGCCATGCGGGCATCTCCAGCCTGTGGTGACAAGCTCCCCTCTGCTGTAACAGTCTCTGTTGCTACTTCTGTGTCATTCCAGACAGGATTCAGCACAGGCTCATCAGCCCTGTCCCACGGAGCTGCAGAGGAAGCTGGATGATGCTCACCACCAAAAACAGTCTGTGAGTCTGCGGAGCTGCCTCCAGGAGTGTGTGTCCCCACAGGCATCTCTGCTGTCTGCTCCAGTTCAGTTAGCACTGTGGGCTTCAGCATCTCCCACCCCACTGTTGTCTCCAAGAACTCATCTCTGGCTGAATGTTCTTCCCCACCAGCCTCCATCGTGGGTTCTGAAAGCTCTGGACTTGTGGTAGTCACAGTCTGTTCTGAATCTGCTCCCTCCACAGCCCACGTATCTCCAGTTGTCACCTCAAATTGCTCTTCTGAAACACCAGGGGACTGTGCAGGAGTTGTAGAAAAAACAGAGGACACAGGCAGAAGACCTGGACCCATGCTGCTCCCAAGGTCTAAGCCAGGAGAAACAGAGTCCTCTTCTTGCCCTCCTATGGCAGCCTCAGTCACAACATCTGGCCTGGCAGAGGCTGTGGAAAACAGGAGGGTGGACAAAGACTCTTCTTGGTCCACTGGTTCAGAAGATGTAACCTCTGGCTCTGAGGTCTGGATGCTCTCCAATCCTCCTCTTGAATGGTCTATAGGGAGCAGCCCCTCCTCTTCCTCCAGCGTGCTGGAGAAAGGCGTGTGCAAGTCAGGCTCTACAAATTCTGCTGGTGTCTGGACAGTGGCTGCTTCCCAGTTCTCTTTTGTCTGTGTCCCATTCCTTTTCAGCATGGCCTTCTGAGAGGCAGCAGAAAAGCTGTAGTCTAAAAAAGAGATCCAAGAGACTTTGTGTCAAAACCCAAACAACTGTGAACTCCGAACAAGAGAGCTGTCCCCATTGCATGCGTTTAGCCACAGATAGGGTCTAATGGCAGAGATCTTTAAGACACTGAAAGGAACAAACCCACCTGGTAAGTGCAGTGCAAACTCTGGTATTTACCCAGCTTGTTATCCCATCCCAATGAACCCACTTTCCCTAGGGAAAATTCATGTATTTACTCCTCTCACTCTTTTCTGCCCTGAAGGTGTTTTCCTAGAGTTGCAAGTAACAGCTTCAACACCTGGTATCTCTAAGGTGAGATTATGAGCGTTAGGAATCAGGCTGGGACTCAGGGATTCATTCCACATGGGATTCAGAAACATGATAGATTGTAATAGAGACACAAGCTAAACAGGAAATACTAGGGAAGAGAAGAGCACAGCAAACCAAGTCCTTTTCCTTGGCATGCCCAGGTTATAGCACCAAAACCTGAATCAACCTAGGCATCTTTGAAATGTAAAATTCCAGTTTATACATTGCTTTGCAGTGGAAAAGCCATCCCACAAACATCTGCTTAATGATATTCCCATCTCATTAAGGTGCAGTTTTGCTGCGAGGAAACAGAAGTCAGAAACAAGAGATGAACTTCAGCTCCAAGTTGCTCTGTAGCTCTGACATGAATGAATGCCTGTGATGTTGCCAGACAAACACAGAGAAATGCTTGAGGAGAAGACACCTCACAAATGTGACGTCAGAGCAGGCAGTGGAAACCCAAAAAAGGAGTAGCTGTAGAATGAGACTATCCGTAAGATCAGACATATTAAGCTGGAGTCTTAATTTTTCTTGAGGAAACTGTCTGTTATCTGAGTAGCTCCATTTCAGCAGCTTGCTTCCCAATTAACTCCCTTTCTCTCAGGACAAGCACAACACATATTCTGAGAGAGGAAAGGAAGAGAGTCCCTCCACAACCAGAAACAAGCACCCTGCCCACTCTTTGGTTATTGCTAGTGAATGACAGTTTGAAACCCCCAAGGGCTGCATCTCTTCTCCTGCCTGCCAAAGTAGATGCTTCACTGAGTGCTGCAGGCAGCTGCCGTCTGGATGCCTTACAGAGAAGATCTGCACCTCTGTACACCCCTGACTCCAAGCCATCGAGCACTGCTGCTGGAGCAGGTGCTGAACTCTCAGGCAGGGAGGTCCACATCAGTAAACACTTCCATTGCCTTGGATGTGCTCTGGCAACAAGGGCTGCCCATGCTGCTTCTGCAACGCAGACTCTGCTGCTTCCCATCCTTCCTGATGGGAGAACCAAGCTGCTCCCTTCAGCCCTAGGCAAGATGCACAAAGATGCTCCTGTTAGCTGAGATGTGGCTCTCCTGATCTATGCCCCTTTCCCTTCTGTTTCCTGGTCTTCCCAAAGGTCTTTACCAATAGCTATGTGTCTCAGTGCCTGCAGAAACACAGTTGCTGGTTAATGGCAGATGTGGCCACAAACCACAGGATTGAGGACATTAGGTCAGGACCCCCTGCAGACAGATGGTGAAGGTTTAGTGCATCCCCCAGGGCTCTGCTGCTGCAGAGATACTCCAGGTCTGTACCAAAAACATGAACCTCAGCAGCAGCCCTGCCCATCCTGACATGCTGTGAGTGAAAAGTGAGGGAAATGCTGGTCTCATCCTCTAAAACAAGGCTGTCAGATGAGGCGTTATTTTAAAGGATAAGGGACCATTCTGCTACCTGCCTTACCTAAAGACATTCTCAGCTATGCTTGACTCTTCCCTTCCCTCCCCTGCCTCTCTTTGCAGCAGGAGGAGGTGGGCACAGAAGAAAAACAAATGGGGCAATAGCAGCATGAGGTTTGCCCCAGAGGAGTGGTGAATGCTCCCAACCTATCAGCTCTCCTTTGAAGTCACAGATTTAACCTTTCTTTAAGGTGCTCTGTCACCAATTAGCTGGCTCCTGAGAGGGGAAGCCTGCACAGTACAGCCATGCTGCCTTTTCACAAACAAGATCTAAGGAAGCCTGAGGGACTGCTGCCTCTGCCTTCTCTCCTGGGTGAAGGAAGCTCAGGAGAACCGATCCCACTCTCACCCAGCAGGCTCCTGTCTTCCAAGGCAGCTGAAAGCTGAAACTTGAGCTGCTTCTTGGAGGCAACAAATCAGTGAGGTAGGAGCAGACAGATTCCTTGCTAACTAATTTCACATTCCCATTTGCCACCAATCTTTCCACCACCATGAATCCTAAACCAGGAGCATCCTCCTGTCTGTTTCAGTAAGACCCCCACAGTTCACAATCTTAACTCCCTTCGTATCTTGCTCAGATTGTTATTCAGCTGCTCACCTTGCAGGTAGGGCAAGAGGCAAAACACAGAGATCTTCATGGAGAACACTGAATCTTGAGGTTTTCTGGTCAGAGTTGTACTGCTGTGTGCTCCTTAAAACAAGCTGCTCTCCATATAACTTAGTTCCCAAAGGAGTTCAATCACTTTCCAAGCATAGAGGTTCAGGGATGAACCTCTTATTGAACCTTTCCTTCCAGACTTTTCAGATGACACTTGGTTCCTGTCTGGAAACATCTTCCACAGCCTCACTACCAAGGGAGGGTATCCACCTACCTCTCGAGATCAGGCCTTTTTAAAGTACTCATATTTCAGTTTCTTTCACCCTTATTCTACAGTTGGAAGGAATTTTTCCACACTGTCCATCTTCTTAGTATGACCTCAGTCACCACATTGGTTTTCTACCCACAGCTCTTCCCAGACAAGCTGATTTCTGTCACTCACCAATGCAATGCAGAGCTAAGTGCTTCCCGAATGGAAATGTCTCCTCAGCATTTTCCTTTATTCCCCTTCCCTTAAACCCTACACGGATACCAAAGAGCATCTCCCATTTTTAGCAACTTATTCCAATGTTCAGCTAGCAATTCCCTTTCAGCAAGCAGTTTTCTAGACCGTGCAACCCCCTGGCCCTCCTGGTTGTCCTCTCCCTTCAGCAGACCCTCTACAACCGGCTCCCACGCCTTGGCCACATGGAAGTGCATCTTCCCATCTACCTATGTTACTGCTACACAGTCCCATATCAACCAGGTTTGCTGGAGGCCCATGAGAATTAGAATTCAGGGAACAGAGAGGCCAACAGCCTCTGATGGTGTATGTTCCTGCTGCAGAAGTAGGGCAGGGCTTTCTGTTAAAGGAATTATGGAACTGGCTGCATTGCCAGATCTGTCAAGCTAGTTTATCAGCTCAAACTGCAGTAAGGAAGCAGAAGGCTGCCAATCAGAAGAGTGTCCAGGAGGGGAGTAAATAACAACAGCGGGCATCATTATCTCTGTTCCTGCCATGGTCTGTCTCCCACTGAGTTCAGCAGTAGGCTGAAGAATGAGAGGAACTCGTGACCACATGAAGAGATGCTATATGGCACACACCCATACAAACCAAACAAAAGCAGCCACGTCGCAACAGAGCCAACCTGCTCCCAGAAGAAGAGAGCTCAGGACTGCCCGTGGGACCATTTCAGCATCTCCAGCCATACAGTCCTGCAGGGACAGACCAGATGAGGTGTGCCTGCCTGTTACACTCCGCATCATGTTCTGTTCCAGAGCTTCTCAGTCACACACCCCCTTGGGAGTCCGGTTCACCAATATGAAATTCCACACCTTCACCTCACCTCCTTGCCTTAGTTATGCCCCCTTAATGCTTTCCTCCAGTAGCTTTATTGCATCACAGCATTCAGCTGTCTTCATCCCCACCAAACCACAAATATTTTTGCCTTCCAAGCTCTCTTGAAAAGACCCTCAGGCACAATTTTCCATAGAAATCACCTTGCCATTCTGCCACTCCAAGTCCTGCACTATGATTCTCCCAGGCAGACCTGAGTCTGGGTCGCACAGATTCACATCCTGTGCCTGTGGAGATGACTTGCCCTGGGAGAAGCAAACACGAGCTCCAAACCCCTGTGAGAGCTCCCATTTAGGCTGTGTTCTGCTTCCTCTGAAATCAATACTGAAACTTCCCCGACCCCAGATGGGCCAGGACTTGGAACTCTGCCAGAGCACGATTCCCCAGCCAGACATTTAATTCATTACACTTCTGTTTCTCCTTCATTCAGAAGAACTGATCTCTGTTATTGCCCTCTGAGGTTCCCTAACCTGTATTTGCCACGATTAGCTGTTTAAAGCAACTGAGATAGCTCAGAAAAAGGGTGAGCCTCATCATTTTTAGTACACATAACTTGACCATAAGGTCTTTATTGGATTAAACTGGAAGATCACGTTAACCAGTGATTGAATTACTGATAACTAACTTCTGATAAAGAAGGCAATGTAATAAAGACAAGAACATTCCTGGGCTCCCATCACAACAACGCAGCTCAATTTAGTTGCTGCTTAAAATGCAGACAGTTCTGAGGTGGTATCTTCTTGCTGGTTTACAGTACAGAACAGCAAGGCTTACTGTGTAAAGGTATACAACATCTAATTAAAATTGCAGGGGGGTTTCAAGGAGGCAAAATGCAATTACTGTTGCTGGAACTGAGCCAGCTGGGGCTAATATCTTTATCCTCCAGAACAGGTATGTGAAGTTACGATCTGCCACTCCAAGATGCATCCAAAGACATCATAGTTAAGAGAGTCCAAAGGCAGCAAACTGGCTACATCTCATTATGCTTGGAAGTTGCCTCCAGTGGATACTGGGCACTTCAAAGCACTGTAGCTGTTTCCAAACAGCCCCATGCCTTTTTCCTGCTGGATGCATGATCTGCAGTAAGGCTAGAAGGAATGAGATTCATCCACGCATGGAATCAGTCAAAAATAGCTGCACCAGAATAGTCCTATGCACGGAAAAACCCTGTTTGTCACACACTGGTCTTTGCAAGCAATGGCTTGGTCAAGATCACTTGTCCCAAGACAGATCACCTAACGTGTTAGTGCACATTAAACCAGGGCACAAACAAGAGGCATCTTGGGAGCAGAGCTCAGGCAGGGGGCTGCTCAGTACTAAGCTTCTTATGTAGACAGCCTTTACCAGGTGCTTCACTTCATTAAGGCTCGGTAGAAGATGGTATTAAGTACTGCAGCTTTGCTGTCAGTCTGGATGAAGAGGCAGCAGATTTCAGTAAGGCTGGGTGAGACTGAGATCTCTCTGAAAAGAGGCAAATAATTCATCAAGGAAAGAAGTCAATCTCACTATCAGAGAAGAGCTGGAAATGGAAGAGATTTTATCGCAGTAGTTGATTGGAAAACTTATTTTTCTTTAGATACAGTGCTTCTAACTTCCTTGTCCTTCTACCACTCATCCTAGCTCTCATGGAAACCTCTTCCACTAATTACTATGAATAATTAAAAGATTACTTTTCTTCCTCCTCCAAAGCGCCACATGCCACCCTAGTAGCTCACCAACCCATAAGACTAGATTTGATAGCTCCCAGCACATGCCACGAACTTCACAGGAACAATTTGGAGCCAGCAGTGCAGAATCTGTAAGGAAGCCCAGCAATCTCATGGCAGCCCAGCAATGTGCTGGACGCTGTGATGATGCACTCCAGACCTCAGAGGCTCAGCTTCTGGGCAAGAGAGGAAAGGAACTAAGTGCTCTCATTCACTAGTCTCTCCCAAGTCTTGGATCAATTTTCAAGAGCCTACACTTCCCACCAAATAATAATTAGGCTGCCTCAACCTGAAGACTTCACTGAACTGAGACCACAAGCCAGGTGCATACCAGGAAGGGTCATACCAGGATGGACGCTACAGCACACAACTCCTTCAGGAATCAGGACTGGAATGTACCTGCAATCCTGATGACTCCCATCTTCTACCTCTAAAGCCAGAAGAGATGTTTCGTCTTTTACCCACAAAATCCAGCAAAATAGAAGGAAACACATGGGTATGGTAGCCTTCAGACAAAACAAGACGGAAAAAGTGGAAAGGAAGACGAGCAAAGCCAGATGCAAGTCCCTGCAGGTCCACTATATCTTTAAGATTGAACTGTGGCTCAGACCAACTAAAGGTGAAACAAAGCATCTAACCCAAACATCAACACGCGCAGCTCTTGAGTTTCCCAGAAGCCAGAGGGCAGAAGCAGCACGTTCACAGCTCCTCCGACCTGCCTTTTGGCTGAAGTACAAGTCATCCACCACCTCTTTCTGTAGAATATGGCATCCATTTTCCCAACAGACCTATTTCTTCCAGATGCAGCTCCACCTGGTAGTAGCTGTATGTGAACAAAGCCAAGATAAACTGATAGGTTAGCACACATTGCAAGCGTGCACTTCCGTGTATCCTCTGATGGAAGGAGATAAATCTCAGGGTCTTTCCACAGGCTGACACTCACTGATGTCAATACAGATTTACTGTTCTGTAGCATAAATCAGCAAAGGCACATTACTCATGGGAATCAAGAGCCCTGGGCTGAGCTGTGCTCTGCCAGAGGGAGTTTGTTCTCACTTTCTAATGGACTAGCAGGTGGCCCAACGTGCCACATGTTTTCCAGAAATATCTTTAAAGGATGTTCAAGTGCACTTAAAAAAAAAAAAAGCAGCTGCAGAATGTTATTGTTTCTTTATGTCTCTCAGCCTCAGAGTCACAAAAAGACAGCATTTTCCCCAGGCTTCAGAAGAACAGACAAAAAGGAGAGATGACTAATACTAATACAGTTTTGAATTCTCTGGAGATCTGGCCTGTGTGTAAGAAGACCACCAATTCCAACCCATGTCCTTACACCAAACAGGGAAGGAAGCCAGCACTACACATCTCCTCTCACAGCAGTGGATTTTCCCTCTCTAGTAAGCGTAACATCCTGTTTTCTGCCTCAAATGATACAGGGTCTCAAATCTATGCCTGGGGCACATCTAACAGCTATGCCAGGCTATCCTCCACTGTCATTCAGAGAGAAATCCTACATAAGGAGAACTTACACTTTTTTTTTTTTTTTTTTTAATAGCAGCTGTTTGAAACTGTTCAATGGATTTATAGCTTGAAAATAACCTAACAGATGTCATTACACAGTTCCACAAGGTATCACATGGCATCTGTCACACATGCAGAACATAAGATCCATTGGTTGCATGTCTGTCTCATGTACAGGCTTTGCATGACAGAGAAGGCTGCCCAATTTAGGGATGCTATTACAATATCCTTTATTGTAAAATGACACACAGCAGGTTTCTAATTAAATTTTAAGTAGAAATTGTGCTCCCAGCTCCTGAATAATTCAAACTGTTCTATTAACCAAGGTTCTGAAATACCACTGAGACACGAGCTCTGGACACAGCAATGGCCAGGGAAAAAACAGTGCTTGGAAGCACTGAAGTGCTGGGCAGCAGATAGGGCAGAGCACGTGTACAAGACAGCTGAAAGAGCACATCTGTTCGTGTAGGAAAGCACTGCAGGCGAGAACGGAAAGAGAGGTGAATGTGTTCTGCATACAAATGGGGCGAGGCACGTGCAAGAGGCAAGGCTGGATTTGGTACCCAGTGCATCTCGCTCTCAATGCACAAGCACATGCTGTTCTCCAAGTCACGTCCAGAGCTGCGAGTACATGCAGGTGCCTCCTGGCACACAAATAAAAGAGTTGCTGAGCATGCTGCCAGCTCGTGAGAGAGATTAAGCCAGAGCATGTCCCAAGGATGCACTGGTGGGAACGCGCAACATCCACCGTGAGCATCACCGCAGAGGAAGCATCTGCACAGCTTCCCCATGGCCAAGACTGCAAGGACCCAGGAGCTGCATGAACAGCAGGACAGCAGGAACACGGCTACTGGATTTAAGGGCAACACCGGTGAGGAAAGGGCTTCAGAGACATAAGCTCAGAAGGCCCTCGCCCTCCACAGCGTGCCCGGGGCCCCAGCAGGCAGCCTGAGCCATAGTGCTGCTAATTACTGCAGCAGTTCTCACCCTTCTGTGAGCACAGGTCTTTTTAAGGTCAGAAACGGGTATGAAGATAAGACTAACACAAGACTTGTGCCTTCTAAATCCAGACCTGTGTCAGACCTGCTGAGAGGGACACAGCGATACCGGATAAGTGAGGAGGGATAGGGCTGCAGACTTGGCCCCTGGTAACATTTAATACATGCCTCACATAACACTTAAGAACAGGAGCACACAAAATAATCCCCTAAGCTACTGGAAACCCTGCAGAGACGCCTCCTCCTTCCTCCCATCATTCCCCCTGCGAGTATCTCAAAGCCAACAACGAATCTGGGAGGAGATCACCGAGGGGATCAGTAGTGAAAAATCCCCAAAGAGGACAGCAAGCTGAAATGCTAACACAATTCATTTGCTCAACAGGGAGCAGAGAGGACAGCAAGAGCAATGGGGCAGCTGCTGTCTTCAGTCAGGTCAAATCCCTACTGAAGTCACAGAGAGAGGAATCCAGGATTTGGCCTGGGGGATCCAAGCAGGACCCAAATCCTAAGATGGTCTCGATCTCTGAGCCCGGGTCATGAGACCTTCAGATCACAATTAATTGACAGCAACAGAAAGGAGACAGAGAGAGAGACAGAGAGAGAGACAGAGAGAAGGGTTAGAGGCAAATGGAAAAGTAGGTGGAAGCAATACTCTTCCCAGCTCAGGGAACCTCACAGCAGCTCAGGAAAAAGGCCTCAGCTGGAACATGGTTTCTAAAGCCTGTGCTTGCTCAGGGTTCACTGGGGACACATCAGGCACTGAGGTGAGAAAATAGAGCTGACGTTTAATCTCACCCCCTCTTATGGAGAGTTATGTCAAAGCAGGAGAACAGATTCCCGCATCTCTTTGCCTCCCCAGAGCCTTGGCAGAGAGAAAGAACAGGGTAAGAATAGCCTACCTGTTGCTGGTCCCAAGTCCAAGCTGGATTCATTGAGCTCTCCTCCATCTTCCCAGAAGTACTGCGGAGGCTGTAAGATCTTGGACTCCTCGTTCTCCTCGCTGGCAAAACCTGATCCCGGGGCAGCATGCAGAGAGCCAGGGATGAGATCAGGCTCTGCAGTCTCAGGGCTCGTTTGCTCATGCGAATTCATTGCCTCCAGATGGGACATAACAGCAAATTCCAGCAGGGAAGTTGAAGTGAGGCCATCAGTGGTTGGTTCCTCCGAGGAGGCAAGGCAGAGGCACAAAGTTCCTGCACAGTGACAATAAACCCATATCAGTGAGAGGGAACTGACAACCAGCAAGCTGCTCTTCTCTATACAACCTGCTCCTGCTAAACCAACCTGCCTGTGGGGTAACTTGCCCCTCAGATGGGCTGCACTCCAAGCTGAGGAGAAAAATCAGGCTACGTGGGGAAATGTTCAGAAGCATACAGAGGAGCATTCACATGCAGGAAGAGTCAGTGCCAAGCAGTCACCCAGCCTTGACACTGCAGTGGGGCAGTGGTGGGGCAGCCTTCTGGGGGTTTTTGCCTCCTTGAAAGGATGAGCTGCCTTGTTAGTCATCCACCCTGCAGAGGAGGTGGAACGTCTTAGACTGAAGGCATAAAATCCTGGCTCTGCAAGTCAATGAGTTTCCTATTCAACTGTCACCCAGCCAAGATTTCATCCTAGTGCTCCCAGTCTGCAGCTACATTATATGCAGGAGGATTGATTTAAACCAAAATTATTTAAATCATCAATATTAATCATGTTCTAAATCAACGGCCTGGAAATCTATTTTTAAGCCATTGATTTGAGCTTAATTTTGCATTCACATTTTTTGTTTTCCTAAGGATAAGCTGACTATCACAGGTAAGAATTAAGGCAAGCTAACAGCAAAAAAATACCGACCGTTAAGCAGGAAGGCAGGTGACATTTAACACTTTTGTTTCAACAATTATATACTTGGTATTTCCATTTTACATATTAGAAAGTTTGACTGACACTTCTTCATTCCTAGATGAGCCTTTAACTGTGATTTGTGTCAAGGTACATTCACATGTATATCAAACTTCAATCAAAATGCAAGAAAACAGCATCTGGAAAGTGGCTTTATTCAACTGATAAATACCACCATAAGCATGGAGACAGAAGGAAAAACTACATTTCCCAAATCATGCTTTGCATTTAAAGCAGTTTTGTTAAGCAAGGGAAGTAACTAATCTGGGTGAACTGAACCAATAGCTTCCCAGCCCTCTGTTCTTCAGCACATTAAAACTAGAGGATCTCATCCTTTCACGGCTGATTTTTATTTATTCTTTCCTGCTTCCTCAGCTTATGCTCAGTTTCTCAGTTCTAAATGAACTAGTCACTGAACTGAACTAATTGAATAAGCCAAAATGAAGCCTAATTTGGTATCTTTCTTTGATAGCTGATTTTCCAGACAAAAGAAGTGCAGCAGATCTAATCCATCTGGGCTTCAGTAAAATATCTGCTACGATGGCCCACGCAGAATTACAAGAGAAGCAAAGAAAGACAGCAATTCGTTCAGAAATTGTTAGGCAACTGTAAGGCATTGGCTGTAGGAAAACTGACAGAGGCTTGTGCTGGAAAGAGGCTATTAGAGGAATCCTCAAGGTCTGTCCTTGGACCTGGTGCAGTTTAACATTTTAAGTGACCTTGGCTCAAAAATTGGGAATACAATCATAAAACTGGCCAAGGAAACAAAGCTAGGAGATATCCTCACTACACAGAAAGACTGTAATACAGCCAGGTGACCCCGAGGATGGAAATAACAGAACTGTTATGAAGAAGGGAACACTGCAAAGTGGTAAGTTACCAGCCTGAGTACTAGCACCAGCTATTCCCCAACATAACATTAGATGTTTCTAACGAATGGTTTCCTAAGAGGACAAACACCTGTATCAGAAAGAGCTCTGAGATACCACCAGAATGCACATGTGAAAATGCTTGCAGTCCTGAAGCATTTGAAACAGATTTTATACAGCACGGCTGAGACATCACCTGAATGCTGCATGCAGATTTGGATACATGTGGCCTGAAATGAGTTAGGCAGAGCTGAATCTGCCTTCAGGCAAGGACACTGACTGGGCAACTTCCTAAGGTTCCTTCCTACCACTGTGTTCTATGACTCCACATCCAAGAAGGACAAATTCAAATTAATGCAAGTAACAAGAAAAGTTAAGAGATGACAGAAGATGGGCTGGCCCCTGTGCTTTCACTGAAAACATTGGCTTCTTAGAGCAAAAAAATACTTTGAGATTGTTGCTCGCTTGCCAGGTTGGTTACCAATCCTGTCCTGGGAATGCTGGGAGCCCAGAAACGCCTCGTGCTTGTTCTGACCTTCTCCATCTATTTCTGCAATTCTCTGAACTGAACAAAAAACAATATTGGTTACTCTTCCCCATATTCACTTGAGGCTGGCTTCTGCACTTCTCTGTCTCATTTGTTTGTTTTATTGATCCAAGGCAAGATCAGCTGAGGCCAGCACAGCAACAAAAAGCAAATGGCAGAGGCTGAGCATCACAGGGGCAGGAGGCTGCTGCAGCACCACGGGGCCAACCAAAGCACCCTGTACACCCCTGCAGGCAGGCCGACTCCCAGAGAACAACACACACAGCGATGCTGTGGCTGGAAATGAGAACTTGCAGGCCTTGTGTGTGGGAGCAGTGGTCCGGAGAGCCCCAGCCAGGGCAGCCCTGTGCTGCTTCAATGGTGCCCAGCAGGCTCTGAAGCACTGGTGCCAAGGCTGGGCTTTCCCGACCTGACATAAGACACCTGGCAGTGTCTGCATCGCTAACAGAGAGTGCTGCTGAGCCCGAGACAGCACTTATCTGAAGGAGCTTACAGCTTAAGCAAATATGACAGAGAGCAGCGGAGAGGAGAAAGGGAATGCTGTTCTCAAAGTTGTCAAAAAAAGTAGAGATGAAGGATGGAGAGAGATGACAGCAGGCCCACAGCCACACAGAAGATTTGGTGTAGCTGGGGGCAAAACTCACGGCTTGATCCTATTTTAGCTCTTCATCTGTCCCAATACCTCAGTTTCCTCCAACTCCTGTGAACACAGATGTGGCTGATGTTACTCTCCAGCTTTCCAGCCGCACCACAGCAGCCACTTGCAGCCAGCTAGGCAAAGCTTCAAGACACAGCTGTGTGCCAGCTCCAAAGATGACTCAAGCCATTCTGTTTCCACCATCCACACACCATTCAGGATGCCTGCAGGCCACAGCCCATCTCAGCACCCTACAACAAACACCTGATGGCAGATGAGGCTGGAGACTCAGAGAGCTAATCCCATTCCTCTGGGAAGCTCAGGCCCTGGGCTTTTGTATACCCTCATTTAACTCTGAAATGTTTACGCAGTTTAAACCCCCTAAGCTGCATTATCTTGTTTACTGGGCTCTCTGCTCTCCTCAGTCCAAGATAAAACTATACCATCTCATCACTAAGAGTGAGGGACTAATAGGCACAACCTGAGCAAGCCAGGTTTTCCTGGAGTGGATCTAGGGTAGGAAGTCATCTTGGGGCCTGACCCACACACACATGGGGCAGAGGTTGGCCTGGGGAACCCCTTGTCCAGCACCAGCCCAAACACCACAGGAAACCATATCCAGACAGCATCCTGACACCACTTTGTACCTTCTACAGCAGCAGTAACAACCCAAACACTGGGTTTGGGGCACCAAACAATGATTTGCCACTTCCCCCCCTTTCCTCCCCCCACCTCCCCACACTCTCTTCCAAGCATCTGATGAAGGAGCTCAGTGTAGCTGTCAATTTTCAGGCGAAGCAAGAATCAAAGCACAAGCTGAACAGGAGGCAGGGAAGCAGAGACGAGAAATATAACCCAAGGAGTCAGAGGATAGCCGTTTTCCTCTTAGGATGAGGAATGGAGATCAGGCGACTTCCATCAGCCTCCCAGTCTGGTATATTAAAAGGCATATGAAGCAGTAGGAAAAAAAGAAGCACAAACGAATAAAGCCCTGTGACTGTAGATGGGAGGGAGCAGGGAACTGAGCCAGGACTCGCCAGCTGCTTCAATGGGGCGTTTGTCTTTCGTTTCTATTTTTGCGGCACCTCTGCGTAACCTGGAGGAGATGAGGCTCTGCATGCTAAAGAGGGCAGCCAGCCTTCGGGAAACGGCAAGGATGTGAGCAGGGGAGTCAACACTGTGCCCAGCTCACAGAGAGGAGGGGTGAGAAAGGAGAGAAAGCGGGAGAGGTAAACAGAGCCAGGAGAGGGAACAAAGGCAGGGAGCGTGCAGCAGAGGCAGCACAGAAGCTCCTGCGCTGGCTGCAAACTCCCAAGCTCTCCAGCTGCCAGCACCCTCAGATGTAACACGTGGAGGGAGCAGTGACCTTGCTGAAGATGCTTCACCTCCGCAAGGAAGGGAATGGGGATGATTTCAACAAGAGTAATACTGCAGTGTTACCTTTCCAAGGCAGCTGGAAAAGCGCCAGCCTGGAGCATGCACATGGAATGAGGTTGCTGGTTGCTGATCCCACCAGTGCCTCAGAAAACAGCTCCAATTCACAGCAGTGAGGCTTGCTCCGTTCAGCACTGCTGAAGATGTGACATACCAGCCCAGACAAGGCAGATGGAGGAGTTTTGCTCAGTGGCAGAAAAAAAAAAAAAAAAAAATCTGAGAAAAGAATACCTTCAATCTATCTCCCAAAGTGCTGTGAATAAAAGCAATTTCACATTTCTGAGCAATTCTAGGAGAACCCCAAAGTATTTTCTACACTACACAGTCAAGAAGCACTTCATCCCTTTGGCAGAAAGCAAGCCACCTCTCCACAAGACAGGCAGCTGTTTAAGAGCTCCCAATTGGCCTATTGAATGGGGCTATAAGTGAAAGAGGAAATCAGTTATTTCTGTATCCAGCTGAAATTAGAGGAGGGACTTAGGGACACAGAATAGAAGCTAACTGCAACTGTGTCAAACAGTCTTCAAAACTGTCTTGCTTTTTGATTAACAACAAGCAAACCTCAATTTCATCTCTAAGGAAATACACCAACATTCCACAAGACATCAACCACATGGGGTTGAGTTTCAGAGCGGCTTGAATGTCCACCAATTCACCCTTCTCCCCAGCTGGATAAGCTGGATTTAGCTCTCCTTCTTGGGTGCTGCAACACACCTCCATCGTTCCAGATCAGCCCTGCTTGAGATGAAAAGCATTTGCCAGAGCACGCGCTCTGACTTTCTTGGCTCTCAGCATAAACTAGCAGAGCCTGCCTGTACAATACCACCCAGACAGGTACACATGGAGGAGGGGTCAGGACATCTCCATATCGTCAATGCAGCAGCCACAACAACACCCATCTGACTCTGCTGCTGTTGACTTTCCTTTCAAGTCCAGCCCAAACCCAGCAGTTACCAAACAAAGTTATTTTGTAGGAGAGCTGGGTCAGGAATGGATCTTCTGTTGATAATCAGTCAGGATAGAAACACAATGACCAGATGAGGGAAGCATCTGCCAGGCATATTCCCTCCCTCAGACCACCTCCAGGAAAAGCTGGGGATCATAGCCTGAGGGCAGGGAGGAGAGAGGCCCAGGGGCAGAACAGCCAATGTACAAATGCTTGATTGCAGAACATTAAAAAACAAAACAAAACAAAACAAAAACAAAACAAAACAAAACCCACAGCCAATTGAAATAACAAAAAAGATCCCAGCTGCAGACAGTGGAGGAGGTGGAGAAGATGAATGCTGTTCAGTTGAGGGCTGTCCCAGGTGATTCCCCTGCGCTCACCTGGAGTCTGTCCACACAGCTTGCACAGGGAAGCACAAATGACAGCCACGTAACAGACAGAAGTCACTTAGGTGCTATTTGGTTATGGCTACACTCCTCAGCACAGCTCCCACCCAGCCCTATTGCTGCTCCCACATTGCACCAGGCCACTCACAAATTCAGCTGGGCCCCTAATCTCCAAGCACATTTCTAATTAGGGCTTCAGAAAACAAGATCAGACTGCCATCCTCCTCGGTATTGTCAGCAAGCAGGTCCCTCACCCTGCATCCCTTGCAGCCATTCACCTTCCCATGGCCCTAATATGCTTTGCAAAGCAATGGGAAAGGCAATTCAGGATCCTGCTTTAAATGAAGAGAAGGTGACAAGGCATAGCTGAAGAAGCCCTCACAACTCTTTAGAAGGAGATCTTAAAGCACACAGTAGTTGTGCCAAACATCTTTATGCTTTTATAGACCTTTACAGTTGGCAGAATCAGAGAGCTCAAACACAGGCACAGTACACGCATGGCTGCACATATGAGCACACACTACCTTGCCATTTGCAAAGAACTGCCAATTTGCTCCCTTGACATTTCAGCAGAGAAACACCAACAGCACACAGACCCAGATACAATATTGGGAAGCAGCCAGGCGCTACCCCCAAGATGTACCTGCTTCTAGTGATGGTTGCAGAGATGCACCGGGAGATGCAGGGATCCTCAGCCCAGCACCATGAAATATCAGCTCTCCCATCCTTATCACCAGTAACAGCAAGACAGCTCCAAGCACCACCACCCATCTCCGCAGGACATTATTCCATGGAATAAGGTCACAGCACCTCAACTGAGCCCATCTTCCCCCCTCAGTCAGCCACTGACGCCAGGATCACAACTGTGCTCGGTTTCAGTCTCCCAGACTGTTTGCCTTCGCTCCCTCCCGCATCGTCTCGGAGCCTTCACACCTCCCTCCTCCACTGCTGCAACGTCTGCTCTCCTCCGCGCCTCTTGCTACAAACAGCAGCAGTTCCCAGCTCAGGGAGAGAAGCAGCCCCCGGGGAAACGGCACCGGGAAGGCAGCTGCAAACAGAAGTGAATTTACTTCTCTGTTACCTTTCCTAGCTCCCCTCAAAGCAGCCCACAGGCCCCCAGGGGTTAACAAACTGTAGATGAAAGCCACTGATCTAGGGAAAAACAACACAGCCCACAGATTGCTTTGCCCTCTCACAGGCCCAAAACTCTTCAGCTGCCAAAAAACCACCTTGCCAGGCTCACACTTCTTGCTCAGTCTCGATCTGGACTGTGCATCACATGGAGTTGAGTCTGATTTCCACACACCAAATAAAGGCGCGTGGCTGTTTGTCTGTAAGAATCCCTGCCTGGGCAGAGCTAGAGCTACCAGAGCGGACATCCCTTTGATACCCAGCTCAGCCAAAAGAACTCGCAGGCAGTTAGGCTCAGCACCAGCAGCAGCGCAGTATTCATCACCCTGCTGAGTGCGGCCCCAAGAGGCGCCAATTCCCAAACAATGTCATGCATCTGAGGCAAAAAGAAAAAAAAAGAAAAAAAGAAGCCTCGTGCAAAGCCTCAGTAGTCCTGAGCACACACATGGGCACCAGGTACCTGCACAACGCCCCAGGTCGAAGAGGGAGCTGAGAGCAGCTGCAGTATATAAAGGGAAGGCTGCAAAACTGGCCTACTGACAGCAAAAAATAAACCCCTGGACTTGAATGTACCTCTAGATTCTGAGCTTGGCCAGGCACAGGGGGTATCGCTGGGGCACACCTTCCTTGCCAGCATCCCCGGCCCCTCACACAAACCGGCGCACGTGTCTGCTGTCTCTGCGTGACTCTGACTGGGCTGTGCTCGTGTGGCTGTCAAATAGCATCTCTCCATTCTTTTGGGATTACGTGTTTCAATTGCTGGCGAGGACTGGAAGCAACCCGTGTGCCAGTCGTGGGCTGAGATGCACCTTCCCGCAGCCCCTTTGCTGCTGCTGCTCGCTTTATTTGCCCACAAAATGCCAGAGTGTCTTCCCACGCTGAGCAGAGGGGAAAAACTTTTGTGTGCTCTGATCTGTGGCTTTTCGCCTGCAGCTTCCCCTTGAGGGCTTAATGTAGTTATTTCTACCCCTGATGCCTATAATTAAATGAACATTTCCTTATGGCACTGAAGAGGCCAAGGAAAAATTGACTACAGGGAATTTTCAACCATCCTGATTTATACTCCCTCAGCTCAGGCTCATTCGCACAGTGTTAACGAACCTTCTAAGCAAGCAGAAGGGAAAAAAATAATAATAAATAGCCCATATGCAGACAAGCACCTCAGGGAACGATGAGCAGGAAAAGACCACTTCCCTCCTCCCTCCCTCTGCTTTTAACCACATCGTTTTCCTAATTGCAAAAGCAAAGGGGTTCAGATACCAGGAGCCTGTGAAGGTGTTTCCGTGCTCCACCACCAGAATGCCACTGCCCAGCCCACTGCTGGGACCCTGCTGCAGTGTATGCTGTATTTTAGCCCATCCTGCAGGTCTGTGGAGGCTCCTGACCCTGTAGGAAGGCATCAGTCCCTGCAGCTCTCAGGCTTTAACCATGCTTGTCTTGAGGGATTGGAGGAGCAAGACCACAGTGCACTTAATTATTCCAGGCTGGAACAGCTCCTAAACCACTGAGCAAAGCTGCCAGCCAAAATGGGGCTCAGTTTATAAATTCCCAGCAATCTTGGTCTCCAATGTGAGATTCCTCCCAATCTAGGTAGGGATTCAGGTCTCTCCAGAGATGCTCGGCTATCCAAGTCCAGCCCACCAAAGCCACCACACCCCACTAGGATTACCAGTTTCACTGGATTAGGAACAAACTGAGCTGCCCCTTGCCTCCCACCTCTATGCCTCTCTGCTATGGAAGCAGAGAGATCACAGAAATCCAAGGACCCAAATCTTCTGTATCATCACCAGCTGGATAGCAACACTAGAAAGTTTCCAGCAGTCTCAGCAGAAGAGGAAACACCCTCAGCACAGCAGCATCAGCTGTAGTCCTTTTGGCTGCCAGATTTTAAAACCACCATAAGGTCACTGTCCATCCTCCTCCACAGAGCAAACGCAGCTTTCGAGCAATGGGGACGGGGCCAGGCTGTGCTAGCAGAATGGCGGGTGAGAATTCAGCAGGTTCTCCCTAAGCACATTGCTCAGAGGATGGTTGGCAGGAATAGGGAGCACAGGTGATGAGATGCAGCCCAAGGACTTTGGCCAGCTGTGCCCCTACCACAGCCAGCCTGCCTCGAGAAACCCACAGAGCCATTTCCCAGCTCAGCACAGGCACTGCTTATTGCATCGGTGCCACAAAGTACTGGCACAGCACCACAACAAGTTTTCTGATCCGTTTTGCTCTTTAAGCTCACCATTGTTTGCAAACCTAAAAGGCTTTATCCCTTCTCTTTAGGGAGCCCCGGACCACAGGGGCGAGGCACCGTACAGCCAGCCGCTCAGAGGCAGAGCGGTTCCGCAGCGCTTACAGATGGCACATTCCCCCACGTTTTCAGATTGGGGTAATGAGATAGGCACGGCGGGGGGCTGCGTGTCACCGTATCACAGCTCGGTCGTGCTGGAAGACAGAGACTGGTTGAGAAATCAGCCATTCCCTCCCTGGCGGAATGACTCAAGACAAAGACTCCCCCACACTCGAGATGTCCCTGTTCTGAACTCCTGCTCCTCAGCCTCACTCAAACCAGATTTCGGTACAAAAGAGATGGTGGTAGGGAGGGAGCGCACAATCCCAGCTTCACGAGTCCCGAAGCCCTTTGTTGGGAAATCTCCGCAGATTATTTAAAAATAGGAGCTCAGCCCTCTCAACTATTGAGCGCAATTATTCCTGCACTTCATTGCCTTTCCCTGGCACGCTGCCTCTCCTCCAAATTTCAAGAGGAGACTCTCGGGGGGAGCAAGGAGCAATTTGCGGTTCCCCCTTCCTTTGTGGCAGTTTGGCGGTAGGCAGTAAAACCCCCCGGCGCCAGAAGAAGCCGTTCCGTCCAAGGAAGAGCGGTTTGGGGACAGCCCTGGCGCGGCAAGGTCTTCCATGCCGGAGCGCTGCGGAGGGCAGCGGGCGACCTACACCGTGACCGGACCCCATGGCGGAGCAACACCGACCCGCGCTGGGGGCTCTGGTGCTCGCGGGTGCCCGGGGGACAGCAGCCCGCCCCGCGAGCCGCGCTGCCTGCCAAGGGAAAAGGCAACACGCGTCCCGGGGCACCGCGATGCTCGGGGCCACCCGCGGAGCTGCAGCGCCCCAAAGGGAAGCACGGCCCACACCCACCACCGGCGCTCCCATCCTTCACTCACCGGTGGCCAGGAGGAGCAGCAGCGGCAGCGCCGGGGCTCGGTGCAACGGCTGCATGGCGGCGGCCGCTGCCCTGCCGCGCCGCTTCTTCACGGGGAGCGGGGCCGCCCCGCAGCCCGCCGGGCTCTGCCCCTCGCCGCCGCCGCGCCCGCCTGCCGCCCGGCCCCGCGCTGCATCCCGCCGCCCGGCGCCGCCTCCTCCCGCCGCTCCGAGGGCGGGGGAAGGTTCCGAGGCGGCCGCGGAGGCGGCGCGCAGCCGGTGCTCGGCCCCTCGGTTCGCGCCCGCCGATCCGCCGCCGCCCCCGGCTGCAGAGCGCGGCCCCACGCGCCTCACCACACAACGAGCGCCGGCGGCGCGGCTGCGTGCGCGGGCGGAGGTGACCGGCCCCCCCGCGGCGAGGGCGGGAGCGCTGCCGCCACAGGAGAGCCGAGCGACGAAGACCTGTCCTGAGCGTGGAACGCGACAGCACTCCGAGCTGAAGGACCCGGAATCGCGTCGGCCTCTTTCCACTGGGCATCAAGCTCGTGTTTCCAAGCTTTCACTCGCAGCAGTCATGAGGAGCCTTTTTTTTTGGTTCCAAGATAGTTTCTCTCATCACGCAGCTGCAGGAGAGCAGGCAATGCCAAAATCCAACACCTCGTGCTCCATGGGAAGAGGAAGCCATATCCTCACCACATGCCTTCACACACACCGTGTTTGTCGCCTTCTTCAGCCAGGTGTGCAGGTGGCTCCTCACCTGCTCCTCTCCTCAGCACACAGGGCAGAGGTGTGCAGCTGTCCTCTCGCCCATCGCCCATCTCGTGAGCTGTGGTGCTCCCCTTCAGCCCAAAACAACAGGTCTGGAGGCAGTCGGGATTTTAGATCTGAACATTCAGATCTAAAGGCGTTTTTTATTCTTTTCCCTACAAGAACCGAATGCTCTTTGCTTGAGGATTGAATCTCCTGAAACCTGGTGTTTTTTTCCTGTTGTGAACATGATGGTTTTTCAGTCTTTCCACAGATGAAAGGTGCCTTGCCAAGGCCCACCACAGCCTCTCAATAGGATGAGGGGAATGGCCTCAAGTCACGGGTTCAGGTTGCACGTTAGAAAAGCTCCTCTGAGGGGGTGGTGAGGCACTGGCACGGGCTGCCCAGGGGGGTGGTGGAGTCACCATCCTTGGTGACACCATACATTTCAAGAAATATGTATTTGTGGCACTGAGAGACGTGACTTAGGAGTGGTGGTGGGTGGGTGGTTGAACTTGATGTTCTTAGATGTCTTTTCCGATCTTAATGATTCTGCGATTCTAGTGAGCCAAAACAACCAGGCCCAAGCCTTTGGTACAATCAGTTACTGGCCTTCGTAGCTCCTGCCAGACCATCACCACCCCTTGGGGCAATTAGCTACTTTTCTTTTTTGCTCTTTCTGGCCATTTTTTCCCCTCTGTCACCCACCCCCCATGCAGCACTTAGCCCACAAGGGCAGGTGACGGGCTGGCAGCACCCGTTACCCAGCGCAGCAAGGCAAAGCCAGCAGGCATGAACCAAAGCACTCGCTTTTGGCTTCTTTTGGACCACATCCTCCAGCACTCTGAAAGTCCTTTTTATTCCAGAATCAATGCAGCCCCCAGCCCCCACCGAGCAGGAAATGCAGCAGGAACTTCTGAGCCACCGCTTAGTCCTTTGCTGAGATAAAAACCCCTCAGTGCACTCAGGCTTTAGCCCATGCATGGCATTTAATGAATGCTCTTGTCATTTTTCACTTTTCTGCTGGTAATTTGGCTGTCTCAGCATGCAGGTGGCTTGCTTACTATGAGCAAGTCACTAAGAGCCTTTCAGATCTCCTGACCCTGCCACATCCAGCCCCCCAATCTTAGAAACTGGATCCAGTGTCTCCAGCAGCCCAATGGCATCAAAGGAAGCGCTGAGACGCCCTCATGAATTACACGGCCTCACATCAGGGGAAAGGGAGCCATGCAGGAACAGCACTGTGTTTCCTACGAGGCTCATGGTGCTCCTTGGTGCTGCATGGATTCATTTTGACATTATATGTCAAGGAAAAGGGAATATGAAAAGAGAAGATGTATCTTAGACAAGAAAATGAAATAAAATTAGTGGTAACATCAATCAACCAGCAAAGCACAGAACAGCCAGTAGGGATGGGCAACACCAGTGCTCTTTAGAAATGAACTTAAACACAGCACAGCCCATGTCTTCATTTTACACTGCCTCAAATAGGGATGGCTGGCTCAGCTCTCCCGAGGTATTGACAGCTTTATAGGCAACGGCTTGCCATTTCTCCTTTGATCTTCTCCAGCCCCCCTACCTGGGGTTTGTTCTCCAATGATGTTCAGAGCATTGGTAAAAGGGGCTTTGCAATTGCACTAAATGCTTTTTATAGCTGCTTCAAAGCCATTGAGAAAAGTGATAGCAGGAGAAACCTCTCTAGGTATTACCATTATCTGCGCTTTTCTGTTCTCCTTCAAAATTGTTCAATTTCACAGTTACGTCTATTAGAGGGAATCAAAAAGGAAGGATGTATTTTAGGTTGGCAAAACTGGAAATCCTTCTGCTGTCTCTCCCTGTAAGTTACCGTAACAGCTTTTGCCTTCAGGAAATTCAACCAGCTTTCTGATTTCAATTTAAGGGTCACATTGTGTTCCATGATACTTGCAAACAAATGCTACCAAAGTAGAAAAACAAGGTGATATCTAAGGGAAAGAATTTAGTGCCTAGAACTTGTTAATTAAAAATAAATTAAACACAAGTCTAATCTCAGTAGAAATAGAATTTGTTCTGAAGCTCCAGTTAAAAAAAAAAAAAAGACAGAAGCAACACATTAATTTGAAATATGTTGTTAAGTAGTTTTATTCTCCTAAATACAGCAAAATTGAGTTCACCTACAAAGATGAAAGTGATCTATTGCCCTTGCTCAGCAGAGAAAGAAAATAAGCAATAAGCAGAACAAATAAGCAGTCAGATGTTAAGCTCTTGCAGTGTTAGAAATGTAGGATGTCACTAGTACTTGGGAAAAGGATTAACCCCACGTTGTTTGCCCTCTCACACTAGTCCATACAACAGAAAGGTATCTGTGGCCTTTATTACAACAGGTGAAGGAAAACGAGCTACTTTCAGACCTTGCCCAATTACTTTGCTGGCTTTTTGGGACAGAGCCTCCGTGACACAGCAGGTTTGTGGCACACCAAGTGGTTTAACCCCATCTGCTGTGAGGCTGAGCAGCTTTTTGGCACCACGTCCCCCCTTGAGGGAAGGGCTTGAGACTCCCCTGCCCCCCTTTCTTAGGCACAAGGAAGGAATTTAACCTCTCCCTTATTATAATGTGAATTTATTTCAGAGACTCTGGCAAGCTTTATATAAGCTTGTTTGCTGAGTTAGCCTTTTTAATGCTGGAATACTGAAACATTCTGACTGTACCAAGAAGGGCTAGGCATCCACTGTTATATAGCTTAGGCATGCAGCTGCTCTGTGGCTTCTGCTCTCATCCAAAATCATGCTGGGAAAGGCATATAACAAACACTTAAAGAGGAGAAACCTGGAGCAGTTGGTGCCTTCCTGGATGTGCTGTAATTAGAGGGAAATTGAATCTGCTCTACAGAGAGCACAGGAGTGGGACCAAGATTTTCTGTATCACTCCAAGCCTTTCTTCATACCTGCACCAGCTTCCTCCCCTTAGGGGATGCTGCTCACCTGGGACACAGTGCTGTTACCAGTCCTGCTTACTTCCCCTCCCCTGATGCGATGTGGTGGAACAGCAAGCATGACTTGTGCTTTTTCTCCCAGTTTCCACGCTCCCCCTGCTGCTTCCCCTCCCCGATGGTCCGCGTTTCTCTCCTCACTAAAGCAGAGCCTATTGCTGCATTAATAGCCACGCGTTCTGCAGCAGGCTCTGACAGCAAAGCTCAGCAGACTCCTAGAGGGCAGATGAAAACAAAGCTATTCTGAATTTGATTAAGGGGCCAGAATAACCTTTAACAGAGCCACCTGAGGCAAGGTGACAGTCAGCTCTCCAGCTGAAAGCCAAAGCTAGTTTCCTCACATCACACGGACAGAGCTCCCCACTCGAGAGGAAGAGCAACCCAATTTCATTACTGTTTTACAGCAAGCATGCAGAGGGATGGTCACAGCACTCAGCTGGCATGAGGGGTGACTACTGAGCACCCAGACAGGAAGGATGTGCTCTCTTGAGGCTTTCACATCATTTGAGCTGGGTTTCTGCATTACATTAAAACACCAAAAACCTCCTTATTCCTGCACTGAGCTTAGAAACTCAGTTCCTAAGCAGAGCTCTTGGAAAAGGTTGCAGAGAGATGGAAAAATCTGCAAAAATACAGAAAACTAGATATCATAAGAGTAGGCAAACCTTAGATTTGCTCAAGAATTTTGCAGAAACAGAAGTATAAACAGGCTAAAGCCCAGCAGAGATGAATAGTAATGTTTCTGCTCCCAGATGGAGCTTAAATAGAGCACTCGGACCATGGTGAACCCAGGTGATGCTATTCAGGGTAATGAAGGCCTTCCAGTACTCTCAATGCCCAGACACTGCTGGCTTTTCTGCTGTACAGGAACCTGAGAGAACGTTTAGAGGGAGTGTCAGACCCTCAGTGAACAAAGTGTCTTCTCTGGAAAAAGCCCTGAATAGCTCATAGGTTATGCTTTTCATTACTAAACTGGAAAGCTCAGTGTTTCTTTGAGAGACACTCCTGGTTCCTTAGCAGTTGGCTAACTGGGATGCAGTCAACTCCAGAGCAGAGGGAGCAGCCTGCATCTGAAGAGGGCTAAAGTCTGTTGATGCTGAGAATAAACATGTACTGTCTTATGGGGACTGTGGGCACTCCTACAGCTGTGTTTCTGCATGGTTTGATGGGACTGAAGATCTTCAGCATCTTTTATGCAGAACTGTTATTTTCAAGTCTCCCTGAGCACCAGACAACCCAGAAGAGAAAGCTGGCAGCTTCCCCACAACCCACTCCTCCTTTACCTTTAGTGGGAAAGAAGTGCCTTGCGAGATGAGCAGAAAGAAGCACAGCCTGCTTCCAAGGAGCTTGTGCTCTATAGATGCAATGCTCAGCAGCCCCTTGAGGCTCCCTAAAGACATTTAGTTATGGCTGAGGAGTGTGCTGGATGGCTGAAGTCATTGGCAGACCAGTACT